CTTGGCCTGATCCTCCGATCCTGATCTCCCTCCCTTGACCTTTGCTGGCAGCCCTCTTTGGGGCAGGCCGTTTAATAATCAGCGTAAAATAAATCAGTCTTGAAGGGGGAGGCAAACTGCGGTGGGGGTGGGAGAGGAAAGGAAGCCAGGCTGAGGAGGGAGTGGTGTGTGTTTTTTTGGGGGGGTGTCTCTATGTTTGGCCCCCCTATGCCTGTTTCTGGACTCTGGGATGAGTCTGAGGGGTCACCCTCTCCGTTGTCTGCTGGATATTGATCAAACCTCCGGCTTTCACCTTTGATCCCGGCTGACAGACCTGGAGGAACCCACCCGCCCTAAAAATGAAAAAATAAATAAAATAGAGGGAAAAGGTATCTAAGGAAGCATGCAGGAAAACGCGGCAAGCTGGAACTCGGGAATGGACGGATCCTGGATTCACCAAGCCGTGGAGGGCATGGCCCGATTAGCTTCCCCAGAAATCTGAAATTATATATTTTTTAAGCCTTGCTTTCCTCTTGCCTGGGCCAATCGTGATGCTGGGATCTCCAGTTGCCGAGATCTTAGGAGGGTTTTTTTTTGGGGGGGTGATTTCCCTTAGGAAGGCTGGCCATTTGGGGGGTCCCCCCGCCCGTCTTTTCTGCCCTCCAGCCCTCGGAGAATCTGCTTCAGGCTTTCCACCTGTCCGGCCTGGCGCTGACCCATGAGTCCCATCTGCGTCTCCAGTCGGCTGATCTGGGTCTCCTGTTTCTTCCGGGCGTCCAGGTAAGTGAGGACCAGGGCTCTAGGGAGAGAGGAAGAACTGAAGAAGTAACTAGTTATAAGTCAGTTTGCCTTTGGGAAGTAACTAGTTGCAAGTAACTTCACTCCCAAAAAGGAGTTAATTATTGTTGCCATCCTGTTGGGATTTCGGATGGAACAGGATTTTTAATCTCTTGTCATGTTTAATCTTTTTTTTTTTTTGCACCATGCAGTGGATACAGGTTTTGCTTTGCTTTGCTATAAAAGGGGTTTTTGTTGATTGTTTATACCTCTGTACTTGTGGGTATATAAACTTAAAAATACTTTAATATTTTTTTAAGTAGCTGTAAATAACAAGAAGGTAACAAAGTTGTCTTGGAAAAACTTTGAAGGGGAACACAATCACTTCCTTGATGTAACAAACCATGTTATTTGGTTACCTACTTTTAAAAGCTACTTTTTATTTATTTTAAATGTTTTTAACCCTGCCTTTCTCCTGAAAAGGACCCTATTCTTTAAAAAGCCTTTTGAGAAGGGTTATCACATTTTAGGCAATATTTAAAGTAAACCCTAAGGGGTGTTTCTTTGGGCGGGGTTATTTTTAATCTTCAAAGAAATCAACTAAGCACCCTTTATTTACCTTTCTGTGAACACGATAAAGAGGAATTATTTCCGTCTTTTGGTTCACCTTTTGGGAAGTTCAGGAGACAGAGAGGGGCGAAGAAAGCTCCTGTCTTTGTTTCGTGTTGTTGTGGTTTTTGTTTTTGTTTTACCTGTGGGCTTTGAAAAAATCCCGGGTCAGCTCCACCTGTTGAACTCCCTGAGCCTGACTCTCCTGGCTTCTCTCCTCCAGTTCCCCAAAGAGCGACTGGATCTGTGCCTTCAGCTCTTGGTTCCTGCGATCGAAAAAGGAGAGACAAGAAAGGGTCTTTTCCTTTTAACTATAAATCCCATCACCCCCACACACACACCTACACACACACACTGGCAAATCCCAGCTGCGTTTAACTCACCGGGCCAGAACATTAAGCAGTTCCAGAATCCGTGTCTCTGGCCCTCGATTCGGTCCTGTTCTTTCGGGATCGTTGGCTGGGCCAGAAACGCATCTTTTCGCCCCACTGATGGGCCCGTATTCCTGAAGGTGAAGAGTGTACCTTGACCTGTCTGTCAGGAGGCCCTTTGGACATGCTCGGGAGAGCTCTCGGCATTACTTTTTAAGCAGAACGGGAACAAGGCCTGACAGCTCTGAATGCGGACGGGCCGGGTTTCCGAGGCGGGAAAAAGAGGGTCCGTTCCTCAGATTTACCTCTGAGTCGCTGTTTCCACTGCTGGAGGAGGAAGAGGAGGAGGATGCAGAGGCAGGCGAGCCTTGGCCCCGAAGCTCATCACGCTCCTCTTCCAGGATCCGGACCATCAGCCGGAAGGCGGCTTCTTGCGCCCAGTAAGTATAAAGCGGCAGCTCCAGGCTTTGCTTCTCCTTTTCGGTCAGGTGTAGCCGGGTATGTAGGTTGCCCAGAGCCTCCTGCACCAAGAGGATTCGGGAGGAGAATGTGGGGCAGAGAAGGGGTGCAAAAACCCCAAACCTCTCGCCCCCCCCCAGACATCCCCAGGGTCAGCCCCAAGAGAGACCCGGTTGAGATTTCACCTTCTGGTGCCCACCCTTTTTAACCCAGGCTGGACCAAAGAGGGACACCCCTTTCCAAAGACTGATTGTCCTCCCAGTGGAAGGACGGTCCTCTCTCCCAGAATGGGGTCTGGCCACCCTCCAGCTCGCCCGCTGACTCACCCTGGTGGCCTGCAGCTCCTGCAGCCGCTGAGGCCCTGTCTGGGTCCTGGCTGCGGCAGGAAGGGTGCCTCTCGATGCCCTCTGGACCGCCGCGACCTTGGCCCCGATGGCCGTGCAGATTCTAGCGGCCATGGAGGCTGGGGCGGGAGGCCGGGGCGGGGCGGGCAGCTTCAGGGCGGCCTGCTCTGTCCGGAGGCGCTGGATGTAGCCACGCAGAGTATCCCGCTTCTCTGCTGTCCCCGGGCCCCTAAAATAAGAAGGGTGTGCGTGTGTGTGCCAAAAAGATGGAATAAAAGAGCATGATTTCTCTGATCCTGGATGGGCAACTAGTTTGCGTGCGTTGGCGCATGGGTGAGCCAGCCAGGTGTGTGATTGTGTGTGTGCCAAAAAGATGGAATAAAAGAGCATGATTTCTCTGATCCTGGATGGGCAACTAGTTTGGCCAGAATCTTGTGTACGTTGGCGCACAAGGCCTCGGCGTGGGTGAGCCAGCCGAATAATAATTTACATAAATTAAGATAAAATTAAAATTTATCTTTTATCTTGTAAAAGATAAATTACAAGCTCTCTTGTCCTGAGTCAGAGCCTTGCTTGTACCAAGATCTCTTGAGGATTACAAGCTCTCTTATCCTGAGCCTTGGGTCCTTTTTAACCCTATAAGGGTTCAGCTCCGGTTTTTGCCCTGAATTTTAAGGATCCTGCCTAAAGCTTTTGAGCACATCTGGAAGGGAATGCGGGAGTGGTGGTCACATTCGGACAGGAGCCAGTGCTCTCCGTTTCATACCTCTCCTCGGCGCGGACCCCTCCTGCACCCAGCAGCTCCTCCTTATGGGTGGGGCCGCCAGGCAAGGCCCGGCAGGCTCTGTCCATCGCTGCTGACTTCGTCTCCTGGCAGGGGGGCCCAGGTGCCCCTAAAGCAAAGACACAGATCATCCGCTCAAACAGGACTTCGAAGCACGGCACCAGTGCCCGCCTTGGCACTGTGACTCCCAAGAAAGGAAGGGGCTGCCATGGGCTGATTTCCAGCGCCTGACACACCACCCCCACGGCGGCCATGAATCAGAGGTCAGGCCAGCCTCCCGCCACCCTGGCTTCCTCCAAGACCACTGCTAGAGAGGTCACGGGCCGGGAGTGGCAGCGTTGGAGATCCGACGCAGACCTACCTGCATGGAGCAGCTCTCCTTCCTCCCCTGCCCTTGGGGTGGAAAGGCCCCGCTCTGCCAGCATCAGCCCCCAGAGCTCCTCATAGGCTTCCAAGCAGCAGGCGCTGGGCGACGTCAGTGAGCGAGCGAGCGAGGGAGAGAAAAAAGGAAACTGAGTCGGACTTCTCTGCCGGCGCAAAACCCCGGCCTCGGCAGCGGCAGGTGCCTGGGGAATTTTTTGCAAGGAGGGAACTACAACTCCCATCTTGCGTGAGGGGATTTGTAGTCTGAAATAGAAGCCTTGTTTAGAGAGAGTGAACGAAATGCTTAAGGGAACCTTATCAGCACTCGGGAAACTTAAAGGTGGGCCCTGATTTTTTTCGCCCCCCCCCCGGTGATCCGGGCCCACCCGCGCGCCTGCCCTCACCTGTAGTGTGCGGCCAAGCGCAGGGCGGTGTGGTCGGACTCCTGGCGGCCCAGAAGCATGCTCAGTTGCTCCGTGTCGCTCTTGGACTCCTGCAAGGCCGCCGAGAGAAGCTGGTTGAGGCTCTGCAGAGCCCCGATGGACCTGGGGACCGGGAGGGCAGAGCTTAGGGGCCCCGTCCGATCTGAATAAGAATCCCGGTGCTTTCATTTCCTTCCTGATTCGGTCTCGAATCGGCTCGCGCGAAAACCGTTCCAACAAACCACACGAATAAAAAGCTATAAATTGATGTTCGGTAAGCGTTGGATAGCATTGGGGGGGTTCATCGTCGATAAACATTCAGTAAATATAAAACGCTAATATTAAAGAGGAGACCCATGGACTCTGTTTGAGAGTCTGCATGACCTCATCGTTGCAGGATTTGACAGTGAGATTTGGGTTTGAATTCTGCCTTGGCTTCGAAGCGCCCTGGGACGCCTCCTTCCAATCCAAGCATCCGTCAGGATTCAGATCGGAGAGGGGGGAGTGAAGCCACGCATGTACATGCTCGACTCACCCCCGGAGTTGCTCCATTTGGGCCTCAGGATCTGGCCCGTGGGTCTCCTCCAGTGGTGAAGGTTTTTGGGGGAGAACAGGGGTGCCGGTGCAAAACGCCCCCGGGTCTCGTTCCCCAGCACCATCCATGAGCGTCTCCACTTCGGAGAGAGATATTTGGAGTTCCTTGATCTGCAGGGAGAGAGACAGGACTCGCCCAGAGGCTGAGGACTAGCGACCCTAGGCTGGCTGATGACAAAATGGCTAGGGGGGCCAGGGGGAAGGCCACCCTCTCCTTCCCCCCCCTTGTACCTGGGATTCAGACTCCCAGGTAGAGGCCTCCTGAGGCGCCCCACCCTCCCCGGTGGACCCGCGAGGCGGGACCTTCTCAGTGGCAGCCCCTCGCATCTGGAGCTCGTTTCCTGTGAGAAAGCCAGGCTGACTCCCCTCCCGCTCAGGTTCCAGCAAGCATCGCATCCTGGACTTCTGCGATTCTTTCTTCTTCCCCCAAAAGCCTTCGATCTCTATAAAAGTGGCTTTTTGACGTCCCTTGGGCTTGTATTTAAACCAGCTTTGCAAGCAGGTTGGGCTTGTTAAAATCCATATGCTTTTTAAAAAAACATTGCTTTGGGATCCAGTTCCAAAATTATTATTTTTTTAAGAATTAAAACTAATCTTTAATGTAATAACCATTAATTTAATGATGCTTTATGTAAGGCTAATTAATCTTTCTGCTATTGCTGCGCATCCCTTTGAGAGCCCGCTGGTGATGGTGGGGCCCCCAAATAGAAATACATGAGGCCTTATCATCATGATCATGACAGTGGCATTTTTCCCCCTCTTCCCTCCCGGCGTTACCTTCCTCTGAAGCTTGTCTCTTTCTTCTTGGTAAGCACGGAGCATCTCTTTCGACTTCCTCAGCTCCTCCTTCCGGCCGGCCAGCTCAAGCCAGAGGGTCGCATTCCTCTCTTTATACAGGGCCATTTCTCTCTCGTAGACGCTCGTGTCCTCCGCCAGGAAATCTGGCGGCCCAGATCCTGACATCCTGGGTTCCTGATTGAGCTCCCCCGTCAACAGTGCATGGTCACCCTGTTGGCACTTCCTCAGACTTTCTTCCAGGCCCTGAGAGTGATTTAAAGAGGTTTAAAAGCCAAAAACCTGATACAGTGATACAGCAGGAGGAAGTACCCTTAACTTAGTTACAAAAAACCCTGGACCTGGTTTTGAGCAAAAAGGGAGCAAGCAGAACAGCTGAATTTTTGGGAGGGGAAATGGGAAGGAAGTGAGCCTCAGAGTAGCAATCTACACGTTTCTGGCTTTCACTCCTCTTGGTTAAAGATGTCGGGGGGGGGATCAGTGCTTGAGACCCACCTCAGTCGCCTGGATGTATCCCTCTAGCTCAGTTTCAATGCTGGGGATGCGGCTCCGATGGGAGAAGACTGTGTTCTCGAGGGATGTGACCGCCTCCTGCACAGCAAGAAACAGGTCTGGGGGCCCTAGAGTGCAAGAGAAGGAAGAGAATCAGATTTGGGGGGGGGGATTTATTCCTTTTTGGCACTGCCATCTTCCAGAATACTCCAGCGGCTTTATAGGAATTGCCATCCCTTGGGGATTTATTCCTTTTTGGCACTACCATCTTCCAGAATCCTCCAGCGGCTTTATGGGAATTGCCATCCCCTAAAGCTTGCAGCTCAAATAAGGTGGATCTGCCTCCGTTTCAAAAGCTTTTTTGCTCCAGGTCAGGAGATGTAGGTTAAAACAACAGGGTGGTAGGTCTACTTCTGTGTAAATGCTGCAACAGAAGTTCTCTTTCCCCCTCCCTTTGGTGCCCAGGTTTTGTCCCACAAAGGGCAGCTGCTGGTGACCGAGCCCCAAAAGGTAGACCCCCACCCCACCAAACCTTCTTACTTTCTCCAAGGGAAGCCGGAGGGGGTGGTGAGGCCAGGATCACGGCCGGGTTGGGAAAGGGCAAAAAGCAGTACCGGGGAAGGCTGGCCGTATATTCGGAGCGAAAATCGGAGACTTCGTCGTCCTCCCTGCCAGGAAAGAGAGCCGGGTTTTCTTCCCTCCGGGGTCATTTTCGAGAGGTTTGCCCCTCCAGCCTCTCCGGCCGCCCCACCTGCAGACTCTGGCACAGTCCACGCGGGGGAGGGCCAAAGATCCAGGACCTTAGATGCGGGAAGGACCCGAAGGGGGGAGAAGCAGGACCCCGTACCTTCGAGAGGGGTGTGTGTGTGTGTGCTTACCTGGCCTCTTTTTCTTTCTGCAGGTGCTCGGCCCGGCCATGGAGCCGGGCGACGGTGACCAGCAAGTCCATGATCCGTTCCTCGTAGCGCAGGATCGCACCCTCCTCCAGCGGCGGGGGCTTCTCCAGGGACCCGTTGTCCCTGGGGTCCGCCCCTTCCTAAAATCCCAAAGGACAGGAATCAGGCTCTGGTGGGGGGGGGAGTTTGGACCTTGTAGTCCTTAAAGCAACCTCCGCCCCTGGGGCCAACATGGCTGGCTTGGGGATTCTGGGAGTTGTATTCTCCCCCCCCCACAAATAACTCCTTAAACTTTGGGGGCAGCTCTGTCTTTTATTGTGTTCCGGTTTCCAATAGGTTTTCTCCTTTAATGTGCCGGCCGCCGTCACTCTGGATTTCAAGGAAGTGGGAGCCAGAGGGACGCCTTCCTGTTTTTCCCCCACATTAAAACAATACTTTGTTTGTTCCTCTTGATGGCCTCTGTTTCCGTGGCTCAGGATAAAGATAACTCGGAGGTCCGTAAAGGTCCTTTTTTTGGGGGGGGAGACCACAGATCCTATTATCCTCTCCTAACCAGTGGTCGGCACTGCCTGCTGGGACCGGTGGTCCCCGATGAAGTCTGGGATTCTTTTTTGGTAAGGGTTACCTTTCTCTGATCAAAACACCCTGCCGACGTGCTTCATTACAACACCCATCGTCCTTTTTCCAGGTCAGGCCAGCAAGAACAGGAAAACCAAACCCCCCCCCCCCAGGGATCTGGCTGTTTCGAGTTGGCAGGGGGACCTCTGAGGTCATCCGTCCCAACCCACCGGAATCCACACAGGCCTCTTATAAAAACAGCAGTCCTCCATGGATGCTTAAACAGAAACGAGCAACAGAGCAGGGCATGAGAGGGGATATCAAGTCCCCACTTGTGTCCTGCAATCAGGGGGTGCAGGGGTCTCTCTCTCTCTCTCTCTCTCTCTCTCTCTCTCTCTCTCCCTCCCTCCACCTGCGTACCTCGCAGGGTTGTGGTTGGGAGGCTAAAGTGAGCAGCCGGAGAGCCAGACAGGACCCCCTTTGCCCTTGTGAGAGAAAGAAAGCTGGAACAGAAATGGGAGAGCGAGAAACAAAATGCTGGAATACCACCGTCAAGATCGGACAGAAAACCGGGACGGGATGCCACGATGCCGGATGGCTTGTGGGACCTTACCTTCTCCATCCTGACCTTTCTCCCGAGAGCAGCCCCACCGGGAGGCTTGAAACAGCCCAGCCGGGCAAGGCGAGTGCTGGCCGAGGTCCTTTCAGCGCTGGATGAGGCCCGTGTGGCTTTTCCTGTTTGGTTTGCAGAGTTCCCACCGAACTGCGCATGTTTCCTGTCCTCAGCAAGGGAGGCAGAGACAGAGGAAAGGTGATGCGCCGCTTGGGCGGGCTGATTTTATTCTGGCTGGCTGGCTTTTAATTTTGAATAAATGCGGGGCCTGCGATGAATGGGAACTCCGAAATAACAAGCGAGAGAGCCAAGGCTGGTTTTTTTTGGTTGGTTGGCTTTTTAAAATGGAACCCCAAACTATTTCCCTTGCTGTTTTTTTTTGTTCTTTTGGGTAGTTAGTAAATAAGATGAGCATATTTGTTTATTTACTGGACTTCTGTCCAGGTTTTCTCTTCCTCCAAAAAAAAGGGGTGAGCTCAGATCAGCTTCCACCCAAAAATTGCAGGGGAAAAAAATAAAAGATATAATCTATGTTTGCCACCGGAAGGATGAAGCAAAATACTTCAGATGCACTAAAAACACCAGCCCCCCAATTCAAAAAATACAAAGCAACAACCCCTAATGCCAGCCTGCAGGGTTTTGACCATGTGCAGAGTGCTTTCCCTGTTAAAATAAGTTTTTAAGGAGGACACTGAGCATGTGCAGAGTGAATTTATCTCATGCAATGTTTTAAAAACGGGGGGGCTTGCTGCCCCTTCCCAGTTAGCCTAGGCTACAGCTGACCCAGCCCCTGTACCATTGGGCATGCCGGTTACAGCTGGGATGTTTTCAAATCTCTGAAAAGTTACTTTTCCGGAACTACTTTCTGATTTCCCGTTACCCACGTTTTCCGACTGAACCTTAAGAGTTGCGTCTTCCGATAGCTTGGCGTGCCCTCTAGTGGCGGCGCGGCCGCACTGCAGCCTGACCCGGGCAAACTACAATGCCCAGAATCCTTTGCGTAGAAGCCCAGGAGTGGGGGGGGGCGGGAGGTGGAACAAAGAATATTTCCTCCTCTCCGACATATTTCCGTTTGGATTTGGACGCTGCAGGCAAAGGTTGGCGTTTGCAGGTGGCTTTCAAATCAAGGGGGGGGGGGAAGGAATTTGCAAAAGAAAAGCAAAATTTTTGGAGGGGCGAAGGGTTTGCATGCAAAGTAATTGGGAGGAAATTGGCTTTTTTTCCCCTGAAACCAGGGTTGGAAAGGGGGTAGATTTCATTTGGGTTGTTCCTTTTGCCTTTAAAAGCATGCATCCTCCCCCGAGACTGGCCCTTTAACTCCCCCCCCCACTGTGTTTCTGTGGGTTGTTGATTTAAATGTTTTGCAACAGAAGCGATAGAGAAGCTATTCTGCAATTGTAAACTTGGAGGGACCAGCTCAGCTCTTGCAAAGCCCGTCCCATTTTGGGGTGGGGGGGGAGAGAGGAAAATGAATAAATACTGTACAGCATAGAATTTAGCAAATTTCCTTACATTTTTTAAAAAATATAATTCCTTTAAAAAATTCCAGGAGGCAGAGATACTGGGTGTGAAATCCTGCGACTTACTAGTTTGTTTTAAAGTCACTTTGATTTACCATCAAAAGCTATTCTGGGTGTTGTAATGAGGAAAAAATGCAGGATGGGGCCATGGTTACAGTGGATATAAAAAGTTAAAAATGTCTTTAAAATGTCGAGTGTCTGTGACATTAAAAAATGAGGCAAAGCTCAAATTCTTTTTAGAACTTTCCCCACCTTTCAGGAGACCAATGGACTGTGCAACTCCGTTGAAATCTTTTAGGGGGAGGGAAATTAAAAAAAAATTAAATAAGATGGTTGGATCTGTGTGCACACCCTCTTATCCCTGGGGATGTCACTGTGCTCAGCAGTAAAGAATCACATCCAAACTCATGATAAGGAGTCCGGGAGACCCCTGGCCATCATCCTTTTTAAAGGGCCTCGGAAGAATCCCGAAGAAAGATCAGCTGGGCTAGCGGATCTTTTCCTGACATTTTCTTAGCCACGTCCAACCGTGGAAGTCATGGTCCGCAGAGAGCTCCCAAAGGATCAGAGGGATCGCATCGTGAAAAGGTATCAGTCAGGAGAAGGATACAAAAGGATTTCTAAGGCATTAGAGATTCCGTGGAACACCGTGAAGACGGTCATCATAAAGTGGAGGAAATACGGCACAACCGTGACGTTACCGAGAACCGGACGGCCCCGGAAAATCGGTGAAAAGTCTAGAAGAATGTGGGTCAGGGAGGCTGCCAAGAGGCCGACAGCCACGTTAAAGAAGCCGCAGGACTATCCGGCAAGTACTGGCTTCGTAGTACCTGGGGCAACCCTCTCCTGTATTTTTCCTGCGTCTGGGCTACGGGGTAGAGGGTCAAGACGGAAGCCTTTTCTGACTTTTTATATCCACTGTAATAGAGTAATTCATTTTAGTAAAAAAAAAAAATTAAAAAAATGTTCTTTAAAAAATTCATTTTAGTAAAATAAAATGTACAAAATTTCTTTTAAAATATCCACTGTGGCGGCATTTTTCAGTGTTGTAAGGCAGGGGTTTTTTTAAGGTTACGTAAGCCGCCTCGCGCCCCTGTATCCAGAAAAAGTTGGGGCATCAACTTAAATAGGTTTAAAGCGTTCTGAAGATGGCCTGGAGGGCCTCACTGGCTGGGGATGATGGGGGTTGTTGTTTCTCCACTTGGGGAAAAGGCCTGCCTTCTGAGTTTTCTGCTCTTGAGAATGTTGATTTTTTTTTCAAATGGGAAAGTGAATCGGGCCCCTTTTAAAACTTTGGATTTTTTTTTGTGCTTCTGCCTTAGGAGGAGCCGGCGTGTGACTCCACAGCCCTGGCGTTTCCTCTGGATCGGGGCCTCCCAATGGACACCTCGGAGCCGAGCAGTGCCGCAGAGGAAGAGGAGGAGAGGGGCGCGGCTGAGTTGCGCCCGCGGACCCGCTCCAACCCGGAGGGCGCTGAGGATCGGGCCCTGAGCGCCCAGGCCAGCGTGGGGAGCC